AGGAATGCGTCCGCTTTGCCACGTGGTTAGTGCAGAGGGCAGGCTCATTTCCAGTCAGCAAGCATCTGGTCTGTCCTCTGGTAATAAATTTATTTTATTTATGCATGGATTTTAAAGAAAAACCTTCAGCACTTTGTCTCAAGCAATCTATCCAAATATCTGGGAGTGCCATGAGATAACTATGATAAGTTGCTTAGTCACTAAGCACACTGCAGAATTTGGAAAACTGCTCGCTTTTCACAGGAAGATATCCATGAATATAAAAATAACCACTGCACATATTTTAACGCAAAACAAATGCAGCATTTGGTGATGGGCAAGCAATGAAGCTATGTCAGAAGAGGAGAATTTATGGAAACTTCAGTGTGCTTCAGAAAAGAACTTTGAGCTTTATCACTGCTGTACCATTTTCCCCCATCTGGCAAGTTCTCAAAGAGTAGTTGGGAGAAAAAATGAAGGAATAAGCAGGTGAGGAGACTTGGAAAGCAAGGACCTGAAATGCTGAGGCTTAGTTCTTTGCCTGTCTGTTTTCTTTGAGGGTTCATCTGGAATGTAGCTAAGAACCAGAGTGCTTAATAAATAGAGAATCTTTGAAGTGTTAGAGAGAAGCAATAACAACCCTTTTGTCTGCTTTTCTGCAGATAAGGCTTCTCCATTCTTTCTTTGTTACTGTGATTTCCTGCTTCTCCTTTCCCTCCACCCCCCTCCCAATTTCTGGCCCTTAAGGTTATTCCCAAGCCCTCGGAGGCCTTGTATTTATCTCATTCACAATGGTTCTCCAGTCTGGACAGGTTATTTTTGGAAGGATGACAGTGGATCAGAAAAAGTTGTTCATTAAATTTTAACACATAAAATACTTTGAAAGCTTCCTATCATTTGTGTTTCAAATGTTGTAATCTCTCTCAGGTTTCTGACAGAGCTGGTTATGAATCCATCAAAACATAGACTGGTCCCTTCATTATTAAGAGCATCACCTTGTCCTGGGAAATGCAAGTAAAGGTGTTAGTAAAAGTATTCAACATCCTGAATTAAGCAAATATCAATACCCATAAAGGAGAGAGCTTAAATATTAACTTTAAAAATTAATAGTAATGCAGGCTCAGTAAATCTATGTCCATTTAGATTTAGACCCAGCCTGATTTTTGTTGACTGATCACGTGTGAAATGCTATAAAGCTAGCTCTTTAATTTTAGGATTGCCATTAAAGTGATAAATTGAGCTTGAATAAACTGAAACGACTTCATTCCTGCGTGTTGTCTCTGACGCAGACGCAGCCAATCTGCTGCTTGCTGTTCTAAGGTCTTTTCAGTGCCAAGGTTATTCTGCACAGAAGCTCTTGGATACTGCTGGTATTTGTTTGCATTGCATAGAACAGCTTGTCAGAGCACACTCTAGTCATTGAGCAGATTCAGACTTGTTCCTATTCTTTGGGATTCGTGCAAAGCAGAGGTTTCCTTTGTCTCTGATTAAGCAGCTGAAAGGAAGGCGTTGATACAGCTAGGGGTGAATTCAACGGTCAGGAAAACAAGGACACTCTAACATTGGATGGCCAGATGGAAATGCGGGGAGATACCATGTACAGAGGATCTTGGTTCTAACTTGTGTGCTGCTTGTGAGCATGGGTTTGGAGAAATTACAAGGTCAGGCCAAAGCAGTATGCAGTTGTCTGTGGACAGAAGGGGCAGCAGTTTCAGGTGCAGTTCCTCTTTCCATTCCCTTTGGAGAGCTTGGGAAGAGGACAGTGGTACAGAAGAGCATGGTGAGGAGCTGCAGGATAATGACCAGGCTGCAAAGGTGGCTAGGAAACAGATGTCGATGGGCCCAGAATTAGACTATTCAAATTGTAATACTTACATTGTTACTACACTGATCGAGGCAGTGCTATTTAAGCATCTGGCTTGAAGGGAATAATAATCATCTCAGGAAGCCACACAACTTGTTTAATTTTAACCAGTTCTAGTAGTTGAAACATGAATTAATGCAAGCATCATAATAATCCTGGGGTTTTCTTTTTGTCCGTCCTAGGTTGGCTCGGCAAATCTGAAGGACCTACATGTAAGTAGACTACATTCACTGCTGTACTATGAGAAACAGGCATGATGTTTTACTGCTTAATATAAGCAGCTGTGATCTAGGATTTCCATTTTGCTTTAGTTATGTTGGATAGGCTGAGACCCATCTCTGTGCCCCATTTCCATTTTTGTCCCTTCTATTTGGGAAAGATGACTGCCCTCAGTTTGAGAGAGGGAGATCAACTTCATGTATTTCACTGTGCTTGAAGGGATCCCTGTGCCTTCTACAGCAGTGAACTTCAAATGACTCAAAGAAAAAAACAAATAGAATAAATATTTCATTCAAAGGCAGAGAGAGCTGCTGCTTGTGAGAGTTTTGAGAGGCTGCCAGAGAGGATTGAGAGGACAGGGAGGGCAAGCTGAGGCAAAAACCCCTTTTGTTTCCTTTAATCAAGAAAAGTGAACATCTCATCACAGAGTGTGACTCTGGACATATTCCGCTGGATAATCCTGCTTTTCCATTTCCTGTGCACAGAAAAAGTCTAAAATCTTTTCTGTGTATGTGTTATGGATGTATGTAACTTTGGGAGGGATTGGAAAGCGTATTTGGCTTCTGTAGCTCTTCTTAGTGTGTAAAATTTTGTGTAAATCTTTGCACACTGAAATTTGGTCTGTTTAGGCTGAACTTTTCCTTTGCCTCAAAAAAAAAAAAAGGAACAGAGCCTGAAGGGAATGGATTTATAATGAAGTATTTAGAAGTATGGGAGAGCTGATGGAAGCCTCTGACTCCTGGATTTTTATCCAGTGCTTGAATCTACTCCTGGCAAGACTGGTATTGCACACACCCCAGTATTAAGGGGCTTTCAATTCTTGGCCATGGTTTCTAGCAGGAAAATAAGCTGCTTTAGGAAACAACTCAAGAGTTGTTTGGTCCAACTCACCTTAGCTTCTTTGGCTAGAATGAGAAAGTTGTGAACTGGTAGGAGCTTCATTGTAGAGGGAAGCAGGAGGGGCCTTGAATGGCATGGTGTGTTCTTCAAGAGAAAGTATGTGAGCTTCACTCTCATCATGCTCCTGGTGTCCCTTGATGATGGCTGTATGCTAGGTTGAAGGTACAGAATTGACTGTTCTCTTATGAAGCTCCCTTCTATCACTGAGACCTTCCTCTTCATCTACTTGAGCCAATCATTTTGGTAGAGTGTTTGTTCATAGTCTCATGGCAAAAGTCCTGACAGCAGGACAGAAGAAAGTTGCCTTGCTATCACCTTGTGCCATTTGACAATTCCTTTGTTTCTGTTCCTTTTGAGTCCTAAAATAGTTCCCATTGCAGCTGAGGTATGTTTTGAGGGTATGTTGAATGTTTTTGAACTGTGCAACCCATGTCTGCTGTTGCTTCTCCAGTCCTTAACTGTAGAAAGACAAGCAGTTGCCACCTCTTGTTTGTGCTGCCAGCT